TGTAATGAAATGTGTTTATACGGTTTAAGGTTAAAAAAACATTATTTTCAAAAATATAACTTTGGGGTTTTTTGTTATAAAAAAAAAACAAATAAGCAAGCCCAGCCCAGGTGACAAAAAGTAAAGCAAAAGTAACATAATACATTACTTTCCATAAAAAGTAACTATGTAATGCAATTAGTTACTTTTTATGGAGTAGCACAATATTGTAATGCATTACTTTTAAAAGTCACTTTCCCCTACACTGAGTGACTTTCTCTATGGAACACAAAAGCAGTGCTGTTGCTATTAACTAAAACTATTAAAAATCATTTTCAGTAATTCAAATAAAGCAGAATTAAAATAAAATAGAAATATTAGATGAAAAACACATGAAAATTTAAAATGTTGCCATGGCAACTAACTGAAATAAATGTTTAGGTATTAAAATTAGTAAAACTAAAACTGAAATGAATCAGTAATTAAAATAAAGCAGAATTAAAATAAAATAGAAATATTAGATGAAAAACATACATGAAAATTAAAAATGTTGCCATGGCAACTAACTGAAATAAATGTTTAGGTATTAAAATTAGTAAAACTAAAACTGAAATGAATGAAAGCTAAATGGAAATAATACTAGCTTTTAAGATGCAAAAAATTATGCAAAAAAAAAAAAAGCCATATGCTTTGAATTCCAAATATTTTAAAATTGCACAGTGACCTTTGGCAACAATACAGGCCAAAATGTAAGTAATTGTACATTGAAAATTGTCGCATCCAGCATAGCTCTACTTGGTTTGTTCATCAAGTGATCTGAACTGAAGGTATGAAGTGATTTGTGAATGAATCATTCAGACCAGTTTTGTGAACCGGATCAACTGATTTATTAAAAATTCTCACGCAAAGAATATAGTAGGCACATGCGTTCATTTCATAATCTTTGGTGTTTTGTGTGCTTTCTGAAGCTTGAATGCTCCTGTCTGCATCCATTGTAAACCACATTTTTCAAAGTTTCTCCTTTTCTGTTCCTTGGATGAAAAAAGTCTAGGTTTTGTAAAAATATGAGGGTGAGGATATGTTTTTTTTTTTTTTCCTCCAGAATTTTCACTTTTAGCTGAACTATCCCTTTAATATTTCATAATCTTACCTGTGTCTTCTTCTGAAAGGAAGGTTCCAGATCAAGTGTGGGTTCAGTGTGATGGCTGCCTGAAGTGGAGGAGGCTTCCAGATGCCATCATTGAGCTGCTGGATAAATGGTTCTGCAGCATGAACTATGACCCACAGTTCAGGTGACGGCAAACAAAATAGTTATGCCATGATATCATGAGTGAAAAGGAGGGGTTTGAGTGGGTCTGAGATATCTGAGAAGATGTATGAAGGTTAAAGGAACCCAAAGGAAGCCAAATATTTGCGTTCAACAGATGGAAAGAAGAACTGCCATTGCTTCTAGGTCATTGGATTCAGTATTTTCAGTTGAGCCCCATACGATTTGAAGTTTTGTTTTGTTATGCCTACCTCCTTGCTGGCTTTCTCAACATGCGTATTGTTAGTTTTATTGTCACCTTACTCTGAGCTCTACACAGGAGCTGCTTGGTTGAGGAAGAACTAGAGGATTAGGAGGAAGATCAGAAGTCGTACCCTAAACCCTTTAAACGCCAGTAAGTTATGTCACTGTTACTGATAGTTTCATGATGTTATTTAGAATACCAGAACCGTTATGATATTTGTCACATTCTGTATTTATTCAGGAGGAGAAATACAAAGAGTCTCCTTGAGGAGAACGTTCCAGATGTAAGAACATTTACAACCTACTCAGCTAGGGAACCAAGTAGCAAATGCTAATGAATCAACATTTGTAAAAGCCATTGTAAACTGATTATTCACCAAAAAGCAATACCAGAATCTTGTGTTCTCCTTTCAGACTCGAGAGCGACCAGCGTTAACAACCACTCAGGCACCCAGACATCCACCAGGCTCTGTTATGTCTGGGAAAGATGCAATGTCACATAAAAGCTGTACTAAAATAGCTTAGACCCACCTTACTGCGCGGTTTCAGAGGCTCTGATGTGGCTTTTGGTTGTGTTAATGAAATGCCTCATTAGAGACCCCTGAAACTTATCATGACAGTCAGTGTGTGTCTAGTATTTTCCTTTCTGTCGTTTTGGAGAATAAACACTGAAGATCACATTTTGAAAAATACTAAATTTGAGCATGTGATGGTGTTTTTTGCATTTGGTTTAAGTATGTGAAAAATAAACTTGTGTAAATGTACCTTTTCACATTTACTTATTAAGAAAAAAAAAAAAAATGTCAATACAAAATTTGAGGTCAATAAGATTTGTTAAAGATTTTCGAATACGTCTCTTGTGCTCTCTGAGGTTGCATTTATTTGATCAAAAATAGTTAAATAAGTATTTAACCTTGAGAACTCATTCTAATATGCTGATTTGGTGCTCAAGAAACAGTATTTTAAACAGTCGCTTAATATTTTAGTGGAAACTGATACTTTTTTTTAGGATTCTATGATGAAGTTCAAAAGAACAGCATTTATGAAATAGAAGTCTTTTGTAACATTATAAATGTCTATACTGTCACTTTTGATCAATTTAATATATATTTTATTAAATGAAATGAATAATAAAATGAATAAATAAAATGATCTAATAAATAAAATATAAAAATCTTACTGACCCCAAATGTTTGAATGGTAGTGTAACATGCAACTTTTAAATGTAAATTCAGTTCTTCTTTTAAAATCTCACACTTCATTCAAGCCTTAAAGGGATAGTCCACACAAAAATTAAAATTCTGTCATCATTTACTCATCCACATGAGAGGACTCACTCATAACATGAGAGGACTTTCTTCCCTCTACAAAAGAAGATATTTTAAGAATGTTTCTCCTGTTTTTGTCCCTACAGTAAAAGTCAACAACATTAAACCCCACCGACTTTCATTTTATGAACCGAAAAAAAACTAAAACATTTTTTAAAATATACACACATCCACAGAGTAACACAATGCATAATTTAATGCATAATTTTGGAATGAGATGAGAGAATTTTCATTTTTAGGTGAACTATTCCTTTAGGTATTCATTTCATGTTGCACTACAATATATTTTGAAAGATTCTTTATTTATTTATTTTCATAGGACTGTCAACCTGACTGCTGTCTTCAACTCTCTAAGAAGGTATAGGAATAATATAACTGGTGTTTGTTCATTTGTATTTCTATAGAAACATGTTTTATATAACATTTATTTCAGGTTTGTTTGTTTTATTTCACTATTTCTAGAGCAAAACAGAAGTTTTCTGCCACAGAAACACAGATGGAGGTGACGCCATCCTTTCCTGTCCTCTCTCTCACCCCACCACAAGAGCGCTCCCCTCAGACACACTGGCCTGCTTTGAATGAGGACAGAAAGCCTCTCACTCAATCCGACACACTCTTGAACAAAGCCGCGTGTGGCATGATGGAAGGAATTGAGTCGCATCAGGGGCCCGCCGCTGCAGAAGAGACATGTGAAAGAGATGCATCATCTGGGACAGGGAGGGAATACAGCTCAGCTGCGGAGGAGATAATTGAATTGCCCCTGAAAAATGAGAAGAAAGGGGTGGTGCATCATGAAGGTCATGTTGATGATGAAGAAGAGCAGGAGGAAGAGGAATGTAACTTGGCAGAGGTGCAACAGTGGCAGGATGAGCTAATGGAGCTGATGAACGAGACGGCGGAGGAGAGAGACTCTTGCCGTCAGGAACTAGAGGGGCTTAGAAAGCACAGCGCCACCCTGGAGGACGAAAGGAACCAGCTCATCAGCAGAGTAGGAGGCAGAGGGGATCGATTTGAGCTTTTATATATATATAGCTATATATGTATATATATAGCTATATATAAAGCATTTATTAACCATTTATTAATCTTTGTTAATGTTAGTTTAGAAATATACGATTATTCATTGTTTGTTTATGTTAGTTCATAGTGCATTAATGTAACAGATGTCTTTTATTATTATATATTTTTAATTTTATTTTAATGTTTAGTAATTTTATAATGTGATTTTTTTTAAATATTAGTACTTAGGTTAAATTTTTTTTTTGGTATTATTTTATTATGTGCTTTTGTGTTTTTTTTTTAAAATTGTTACTCTTTAGGTTTAATTAATTTTTCGTTTCTTTTCACTACCCTCAATTATTATTAGAAGTTGTGATAATAACATTTTACAACAAGGTCTCATTTGTTAACATTAGTTAACATGAAGTAACCACAAACAATATATGTGAACAATATCTTTTATTATTATATATTTTTAATTTTATTTTAATGTTTAGTAATTTTATAATGTGAATTTTTTTAAATATTAGTACTTAGGTTTAAATTTTTTTTTTTGGTATTATTTTATTATGTGCTTTTGTTGTTTTTTTTTAAAATTGTTACTCTTTAGGTTTAATTAATTTTTATTTTTAGTTCCGTTTTAGTTTTTGACACACTAGTTGTAAAATGTTACCTATATTATTCGAGTTACTTTTCATTATTCAAAAAGGTTGCAAATGGGTAAACAATAGAGAGACTTGTTTTAGTGTTATTTATATACTACTTTTATATTTTCAATTTTCTGTACGTTTTAGTCATTTTGTTTATGTGCTTTTACCATTTTTATTTGTTTAAATACTTCTATTTACAGTAGATTTAATTTTAGATTTATTTTATTTTTATGGTGTGCACACCAAAAGCGAATTTAATTATTTTTATGTAGATTACATACAAAGTTAATGCAAAGACGCGAATGACCCGAAACACGCGATATTCGCCTCAATCGTGTCTTCCGCACAAGTTGAAAACATTAAAACCCCACCGACTTTCATTTTATGAACCGAAAAAAAACAAAAACATTTTTTTAAATATACACACATCCACAGAGTTCATCGCAAGGGGGAAATTCGCATTCGCACGAATTGTCGCGCAAGCCAATCAGCGAAAAGCTTATTGACACGACCGGTTTGACACGTCCGGTTGTATCAGAAAATGGAGGAGAGCAATATTCGCGTGAGTGACGCAATGCGAATATTCTCTTTTGGTGTGCACACACCATTAGTACTTCAACTTAAACATATTTTGTTTCAGTTAGTTGCCGTGGCAACAAGAAGTTTTTTTTTTTTTTTACTTTTTCATTTAATATTTATATTTTATTTCTGCTTTACTTCAGTTAACAACAACTATTTTAGTAGCTTTAGTTTTAGGTGTTAATAGCAACACTGTTTAGGGTTGGATATGTTGACATTTGGCCATTAAGCAACTATTTAAGCATGTTTGAATAAAAAGCATTAAATTGTGTCTGTGCTGTGTCTAGCTGGAGAGTGTAGAAGAAGAGAACTCTGTCATCAGCTGAGGAGTCAACTGTCAGAGCTCAGGGAACACAGCCAGAAAGGAAAGGAAGAGAAAGACGACAGCTCCAAACTGAGGACACTGCGTCTGAACCGGAGTCGTCTGCTGGTGTCTTTCATTCCCTCTCTTCATCTTGAGCATGTGGACTACAACAGTGATGTCTTAGATACCATCCTCACCCAGGTTCTAGAACACATCACTTAGAATGCTTTCTCTGATTTTCAGAGTTATGACTGAGTCTTACTGAAGAAGGAAATGGCTAAACATTCATACTGTATATCCACCTAGAATCTCTTGTGTTAGCGTAAAATGGATTTCATTGTTATAACTGGGTGAACATATTACAATTTCTAATATACTTTGTCATATATTTAATTTTTTTTAGATAGACATATCAGTATAGCAGGAGAAATCACTCAGTAGGACAGCTATGGGAATAGAAGTCTTCCTTTCAGTCAAAAGAGCTTTTTTGAAAAAGCCTTTTTGTTTTTGTTTTGTTTTGTTTTTTACTAGCATTAGCTGGGCTAGCTAATGTGAATGTAAAGGAGTTTTTCAGTATAATTTGAGCTAAAGAAACCAAATGCATGACAAAATATGTAATTTGGACATTCTGTCTCTCCCCAATCAGGTACATAGAAGCTGTATTAGCATGCCTAGAAAATAGCACAACCAAGATGGCCGCCGATTGAACTGACCTGCTCCAATAAAGACTTAAAGTGCCCCTATTATGGCTAATGAAAGGTTCATATTTTGGTTTTGGGAGTCCCCAACAACAGGTTGACATGCATGCAAGGTCAAAAAACAATTTCATTGTCTTATAATATGCATACATTTTTACCTTACTTGCTCAACGACTCCCAAACGATTCGCTCAACGATTCATTTTTCCAAACCCCTCGTTTTGTTCACATTCAGGTACTAGATGTTCATTTATCATAGATTTAATCAAGTTCTTTTCCACTATAACCTCTATATATGCTTTCTTGCTCCTTACACACATATCAGTCGTCCTCCTCTTCCTATCTTATTTCTTACCTCAACACATACCCATCTACCACTTAAACTGCCACTCTCACTATTAATCAAATCTCCTTTTAAAGACATCCTCCACTAAATACATAATAAAGGTACACTGTGAACTCAGCAGTGACCTATCGACTTACATCCATTTGCGCTGAAAGTAAAACCTATAGATGTGACCTAATCATTAAAAGGCCTATTTTATTTTTACCAACACAGTCAGTTCTTCTGCCAGGGAGGGACTAACTTAAAAAATAAATAAATACCCCTATGTATTAAAGGCCATAAGTTGATGACCTTTCTCACTCAGTCCCAGATATGTGTACTGATCTTGCCAGTGCCATACAGAATGACCAGCACTGTTTATTGCTGTTTGGGGTCAGTAAGATTTGTATTTTTTATTTTTTGAAAGAAATTAATATTTTTATTCTTCAAGGATGCATTAAACTGATCGAAAATTAGAGTAAATACATGTACTGTATAATGTAACAAAAAATGTCTGTTTCACATAAACACTTTTCTTTTGAACTTTTTATTTATTGAAGAGTCCTGAAAATCAGGGTTTCCACAAAAATATTAAGTAGCACTACTGTTTTCAATACTGATAATCACAAGAAATGTTTCTTGAGCACCAAATCAGCATATCAGAATGATTTCTGACACTGAAGACTGGAGTAATGATGCTGAAAATTCAGCTTTGCCATAACAGGAATAAATTACATTTTAAAATGCATTAAAATAGAAAACAGTTATTTTAAATTGTAATAATATTTCACAATATTACTGTAGTTTTGATCAAACAAATGCTGCCTTGGTGAGCAAAAGTCTCACCAACCTCAAACTTTTGAACAGTAGTGTACATATTTTTTTTCTTCTGAATCTTAATACAACACCCCAGGCATAACTGTCCCAGCAGATGTCAATTCTTCAGACTACTTACCTACCAGCTGATGGAGAGGCCGAATGTCCTGCAACACCTGTCAGTGGACGATGGACGACTCTTGGGAAGCTTACGTGACTTGTTGCAACCAGGCTCATTAAATGCCTAAGGTTACCAAAATATTACACTGGCCCTGCCAGGGCATAACAAGAGTAAGATGTAATCTCTTGGAGGGCAGTGCGGGGTGGCTGTGTCATGGCCTGGTTAATACTGTGATTTGAAGTAGTTCACCTAAAAGTCGTAATTAACTCGCCCTCATATTGTTCCTAACCTGCATGACTTTCTTCCTTCTAGGTAAGAATAGAATCTAGGGCTGTCAAGCTCTAAAATGACAAAGAAGAACCAAAAAGTTGGTCATATAAGTAGTCCAAATGACTCATGCATTATATTCTGAAGCCAAACAACAAAATAGGCCAAAATTAAAGCCATTATTCACTGAAAATCCTGCCATAGCTCACCTTGAGAGTTCATATGAGACTTAGTAATGTCTAGTTTGATAATGAATCCTTTTTTTGAGTTGGATCTTTTGTGTGAATTGTTTGATCCAATTCACAAAGCCAGCATGAGTCGGTTTTATAGTGCTTGAGTCATATGGTCTACTTTTATGCTACATTTACAGTGATTTTTGAAGCTTAAAAGCTCCAGGCTGAGCTCGTATCTAGTACACAGTCTTTGGTATCTGTCAAAATCCTTTTCCTTCTGGATGTCGCAGTCATGTCGGGTCATGAGGTCCAAGCCTGTGCCAGATTTGATGTTGTGTTATTCAATCTCTTCTACCAAGATCTCTGCTTGGACCATCAAAATCAAACTGGTAAGGAGTAAAATATTACGCTGAAGTTTGTACATTTTTAAAAGTATGGGGAAAAGGCAGTTGATGACTTTTAAGTCTTAAAAAAGTCCTTCACTGTATATGGTTATTCAGTAGGCTGTATGATTCTTTTGAAACATTTAAAAGTGACATTATTAGTTTTGCATGTCAACATATTGGTTTCTTGGTTCCAATTATGATTTAAGGAGCTAGGAACTAAAACGTTCTTTTGAATCTAATTGGAACCTTCATGTAGTGTTTTATCGGAACCAATCTGGAATTATCTGGAATCTTTTGACATCCAAAACACTTCTCACTTTTGTTTTCTGCAGAATTTTAGTGGAGGTCAATAGCCTTGAAAAATGACCCAGCCCAAATCCTGAAATCGCCAGACTTGTCACACCAGGACTGGAGGTCAGACAATTTTTTCTTCTGCAAAATTAGAAAGGTCCATTTCTTACAAATTCAGTGTTTTGTATTAAGTAGTATCCTGAGGGTTATGTGATTCTCTTCGATCTTTACCCCCTCTGAATATTGCATGTTGATTTATGGCCCACACGCTGAGCCAGATCCAGGTCTCAAAATGGATTTTAATGGAGTCGCATTAGTGGAGTTATTCAAGATTAGGGCTTATCAGCCAGCTCAAATTTACTCTGCACTTCACATCAATCCATCTCAACTTGTACTAGGCCTGTGAGAGTGGTATATAAGGAGGTCTTGAGAATACACAGACAATTTTCAGTTTTCTGTTTTGTGGTTTTCTTGTTGTCATCTCTTTTCTGGAAAACTATCCGTAAAGTTGGCATTTAGCTTAATTTTATTCAAGATAATTGAACACAGTTTAGCTGTCTTAACACAATGATCCATTCAAGTGTGCCCTTCAAAAAAATAGGAAGTAAATTAGTCCCTTAGGAAGCAAGATTGCATTGACTCCGTACCTGGTAATATGCTGTTTTGTGCTTTAGTTAGACACTCAAATACTTCCCCATCATTAAAGAATTCATTAAAATGTGGAAAATAGTAATAGTAAAGGGAGTAATTTTGTCAACAACGGTAGTGTGTGAGTAAATTGTGACCTAAAATTGATGTTGTTGATCTACCCTATTGCATTTCCTCAAATGTCCACAAGGGGACGCTCAGTCTTCAGTACAGCTATCAAACACAGTTTTATCTTATATATTTCAGCTAATGTAGCAAAATGCACAAGAATATGCATGCTCTGTCTGGATAATACAAGCAAACATCAATTATTTGCATTACGGTCTCATCTGTTGCTATTATTAATACCAAAGCAACAAAAAGCAACAGAACCACAAGTATCAGTGTGCAGATATTAAATAATTTATTCATAAGAGACTATATCAGTAGGCTACTGATGATAGTGAGCAGCTCCTTCAGGACAGTGTTAATTCTTTCCAAACCCGAGCATCATTTTCCTCCTCCTTTAGATGCCATAAAGTGATTACACTTCTGTAGCCTTTATATAATGTTTAAATAACACATATGTTGCGTTAGGGAACGTTTTTGTGCCCTTCCTGGTCCCCGTAAGCACTAGCAGCATCACTAGGGAGTGAGAACATGATTGAATTTTTGCCGTACGGTCACGTCACAGCTCTGAAGTCGTTATGAGGACAAAACGGGCCACATATTTGCCTCCCGTCTCATATCTGGCTCAGTGTTTCTGATCTGCTCATGTCTCAGCTTGAAAAACCAGTGGAGGAATAGATAGAGAGAGCGACTGACTGGCCGGGGCTAGTTGTCACAATAGAATGTCCCATTAACAGCCTTATTTTATTTATATATATAGAAATATTAATAGAAATCTATATTCATGAAACAGCCAAAAAAGAACAAGAAATATCTACACTTTTATTCAGCAAGGATGCATTAAATTGATCAAAAGTGTCAGTAAAGACATTTATTATGTTACAGAAGATTTTTCTATTCATCAACTTTCTATTCATCAAAGAATCACTGGTTCCAAAAAAACAAACAAACAAACAAAAAAACAGCACAACCGTTTTCAACAATGATAATAAAAAGAATGTAAATCAGTATATTAGAATGATTTCTGCAGGATCAAGTGACACTGAAGACTGGAGTAATGATGCTGAAAATTCAGCTTTGCTTCACAGAAATAAATTACATTTCAAAATATATTAAAATATACAGCAATTATTTGAAACTGTAATAAAATTTCATAATATTACAGGTTTTACTATATTTTTAATCAATTTAATCAATTTAATCAAAGATTCTTCTTTCAAAATCATTAAAAGATCTGACCCCAATCTTTTGAACAGTGGTGTATAAGGTGTTATTCTAGCCGACAGACCGGATCAGATTCTGTTCAGTTCATTCTGTTCAGATATTTGTGTTTTAGCATGAAATTGCACTTTTGTCCCTATATACTGAGATAAATCCCTTCTGACAACTTCTCTGTGTAACAAGTCTCCCATATCTGTCACCACAAGTCAAGGTGGTATAAAAATTAGAAACTTTGTCCTCTGGGGCTGTATTAAAGAGGCATGTTAACTGTAAAATCCTATCTTATCTGTTCAGTTACCATGGCGATTTGAGTTAAAACTTGTCAGATCTTAACTTAAGATAGGAAGTATCTGCAATACGGCCCCTGATCTACAGTAATTCTGTGATGGCAGTCCAGAACGAGAGCCATTATTGCTTCATGCAGGCAAATTCAACTACCTTAATACATGGAAAATTTATGATGGTAAAAGTTGCTCTTTGATGCGAGATTTCTGTCAAAAGAAGGTCAAGCTGGTCCAATATGAGCACTAAGGATCATTACATCATCTCATATCAAAGATACAATGAGTTGGAAATGGCTTCAGCGCATTGAAATATCTGAAACATCTTGTAGTCATGAAGAGTTTAAACCAGGTTTTGAGGATGAGTGCAAGAAGCACTAAAGCAAAAACCAACTGCACT